ACACACACACACACATACACACACCCACACACACACACACACACACACACACACACACAATATTATTATTATCTCTCTGTATTGTCTTCACATGAAACAAAAATAAACGAAAAAAAAAAAGAAGTAAATTTCTCTCGGTGCAAGCGACTGGGACGAAACACTCGCCACACTGGTGTCAAGTGTTTAGTTTTAGTAAGAGTTTTACAGCACTTGCAACACAAAAAGGTCATATAAATGCTGAAGATTAGAGGTGATACAAGAGAGTAACAAACACAAAAAAAGAAGGAGGAGAGATAATGACCATAGATGTTTGATAGGAAAGAAGGCGCAAACCACACCAGAGCACCCACCAACCACCCACAGGTGTCAGGTGTACCAAACAATAATTGAAGGTGCCAAGAAGGAGAAAAAAGAAAAACGGTACATAAAAAGACTTTGAGTAACCCTGGCTTTGAGTTGAAGCCACAAACAACTCAGCCCAACAAAGGCACATTTGTGAGGAAATCTGGTTTTAAAAAATGTCATCGTAAACAAAACCTAGCAACAAACATCAGTTGACAAATTTCTCTACTCTATAAAAGAACAATGTCGGAATCAATATCAACATAAAGAACTATGTAAATTTATGTAAATATGTAAATGAACCTGTGTATATATATATATGACATTACTTCTCAACAAATCCACAAAGCCTCACTGCCTCCACACATATGCAGAACACATCAGTGGAAGAATTAGAAATAACTGTAGAAACTATCTGCTAACTGATAGGATGAGCAACAAAAGTACACCAGGTGTGGTATCTATAGAAATATATATATGCTGTACAACTATATTTATAGATCACAGTAGTTCAACAACAACAACAACAACAACAACAAAAGAAGCATAAACTTTCTAACTGCCAGGGTTATAAATGGCCCCTAAAAATAATGTTTACATCAATCGAAAACACCCAAAAACAAACAAGTCACTGAATAACGTCATTTAGCTACTTCTCAACTTGTATCTATGACCATCCATGCATTCTTCCCAGCCACTCAATAAAGAATGATGCATTACATATCTCCTCCGTGAAAAAAATGTGGTAAAGAGAAACATCATCTCCTCACTTTTCAGACAGCCCTTGATGAACCTGAATGTGTCTAGCATAGTTCTCTTCAACACCAACATCAACAATCACAAAACTTATATTAAAAAATAATTGCACGTAATAAGCAAGACATTTATAAATGGCAAAGTTTTGAGGTGCACAAAGGCCCCCTACCACACAACACATACCACACAACACATACCACACAACACATACCACACAACACATACCACACAACACATACCACACAACACATACAACACAACACTCCGCGACCTCAGCTCTTTCTTGTCCTATCTCCATTTTTTTTTTTACATTGAAAATGACATTTCTTCTTAAGCTCACTCTTTGTGATGAACTGTTTTCACCATTATTAAAAATGGAGATAGGACAAGAAAGCACCGAGGTCACAATATGGTGGAACACTTCTAGCTCTCACATCAAGACGAATGAGCCAAAAACAAAACAAAACATACATGAACAAGAACATTAGTAAACCAACAGAAAGAACCCTGTGCCACAACACTAAACCAACCAGCTCTTCTATTCTTCCTGAACGCATGAACTTCACAAAGTTTCCATACCCACAAGTTTTTTTTAATGAGCTCATAAACCTAGACAAACCCTGTATATCATAACAGTCTCATTAAAGTATGACTTATATAAGGCGCAAGCATACAGAAGTATACAGCACCTTACGAGGAGAACCAAAAAGATGGCCCGACGGTGAGAACAAAACGTAACAAACAGCAGATTGTGGCATTCCCTGAGCTCTTGGTGCCCTCACCCACTCCCCCCCCCAAATATTTATCAAGAAGGTATGGTTAAATTATTACAAAAGATTTCGGATTCAGTGCAGTAGTAAAAGCAGCAGAGTCCCCTAGACTTCACTTCCTGTGAAGGTCTCGTTGTTCCTCACTCATCAGCTGCAACGAGAAGTTCACAAAGTTCTCCGCAGCCTCTGCCTGGAACACCGCCTCGGCGCCCTCGTAAAGGTGGTTTTTCATCTTGGCCACGCCCGCCCGCGGGATGCCCTCCTTCCCGATGTACGAGCGCAGCAGCTTCAGCGACTCCTCGTCCAGCGAGCTGGGAGGGAAGGCCGCGTCCGCGATGCCTTTGTCGATGGCGTCGGCGGCCGTGTAGCGACGGCCCAGGACCAGAGCGTCCGAGAGGTTCTTCCCTCCGCCGAGCTTGACGCTGTGACAAGGAGAAGACTTGATGAGTGACGGACGCACTTTTATAATACAATATGGTCACTTTAAGGACAAGCAGGCTAACCCAGATTTCGGGGGTTTCCAGAAATCTTGACCTACACCAAAAGTGGGCATTGTTCTACCTATAGAAGAAGTTTGTTTTCACTGGTGTGTAGTATAGAGAAAAGGTTCCTTGTCTTTAAAAGAAACTGAACAAAAGGCAAAGACTTTACATTCGATTTTCTCAAAACAGCATTTTTCGCAAGCACACACACACATGCACGCCCACACAACACACACACACACACACACACATGATACACAAACACAAACACTCACACACACACACACACAAACACACACACAAGCTGTGGTACTGCCACCAACATGCATGAATATGAGAAGCTCTCTTTTACATAAGTTAGAGATAAATTTAAAACTCTTTGGTTTTGAAATTTAGTCCCTTAGCTGTAAAACCACACCTTGTTAGCGAGTTGGTTTGTAGGAATGTTTGAATGGTTGGTTTGTTGGGATGTTTGAATGATGGCATTATCAACACCAACTCAAGACGCACTCACCGCAAGAAGGCCATGAAAAAGTTGGACAAGCAGATGCTGAGGAACACTTCGTTGAAGCAAAACCAGCCCTTCTCCGAGTTCATGGTGCGGAGGTCGTGGGCTGCGGCCATCATGGCTCCCCCGGCAAAGGCATGACCTGATAGGAATAGCATAATTTTTTGTAGAACGTTATTGTAACAACAGGCAAGTTTGAAGGAAAGAGAGGCAGAGGCAGACAGAGGGAAAAGATACTGGACAAGATGACAACATGGCTAGGAGCAGCAAGAACAACAGACACTATTGCTGCAACTCAAGACAGAGTGGAGTGGAGGTCCATGATCGCCCACGCCAGTCGGCAAGGCACCGGATAATGATGATGATATCTTGTCTATATTATAGGAAGATGCCAACCATCTGTTCATCAAGTCTGATGGAGCAGAGATAATGAGAACGGGGAGGAGGGGAGAGCAAGAGAGTGTGAGAGAGGGGACTGGAGAGCGAGAGAACGTAAGAGAGGGGAATGGAGAGCCAGAGAATGTAAGAGATGGGAATGGAGAGCGAGAGAATGTAAGAGAGAGGAATAGAGAGAGAGAGAACGTAAGAGAGGGGAATGGAGAGAGAGAGAATGTAAGAGATGGGAATGGAGAGAGAGCAAATGCGAGAGAGGGGAATGGAGAGAGAGAGAACGTAAGAGAGGAGAATGGAGAGCAAGAGAGTGTGAGAGAGGGGACTGGAGAGCGAGAGAGCATGAAGGTGGGGGCGGCAGCGTCAGGGGAGTCAGAGACAGCCACACCATCCAACAAACTAATGAACAAGTTTTCGTAAGTGGACGCAAGTATTCAATCATTCTCATGTTGCTAGGTTTTTCTCCAAACTTTTGGTAAGTCAGAAGTCCCAAAAACCCTTGGTGAGGAGCTAAAAGTCTATTCTGTCTTCAACCGACTCGCTAGCTGTGCTCACATCAACTGCAGTCAAATCTCTAATAATAGTAAATAACATTTGTATAGTGCATGTCCCCACTCGAAAGCAAACTGTATGCGATTTACACTATATTATTACCCCAGCAGACCATGGAACATTCAGAAACATTCTCAGCTTCTTGGGAAGCATACAGTGCAAGCAGCCGGTTAAGCTCTCAAACACTAACAAACTGACAAGATCTTTCACTGTCTATAGCTGGGTACCCAATCCCAACTGGATGAAGTGAGCAAAATTCGTGTAAAGTGTCTTTCCCAATGACACAACGTCGGGCCCGCGGCTCTAACCCCCAAACATGCAACCTCACGATTACGAGTCCGGTAGCCTAACCACAAGACCACCGGCGCCACATCTAGATGACATCAGCTTAGAGAGACAGACATAGCTGGATCTCTTGTGCAGAAAAAAATAGACACTTTTTCTTCAATTCATTGACCATTTTTATACATATTAAACTGTATTGAACATTAGCGTAAAAGGTTTTTAAATTTGAGTTGTAGTTCAAATCATTTCAGCACAGTAATTAGTAATAGTCATGTTTTGTCAGGAACAAATTATAACAATCATATCTACTGACAGGAAGTAGAAAATGCATACCACAGAGCAACCTGCACTAACCATCCACTGGGCAGACGGGTTGGAAACAAACCCCCAAGCTTGTGGCAACAACAAAAATTTGTTCAACTTAACACAATACATACAGAGAGTTTCCGTACCATTCATCATAGCCATGGTCGGGATAGGGAGAAGGAGAACCCTCCGGAAGAAAGCGTTGAGGTCGTGGAGAAAGGTGAGCAGTTCTTCCACAGGGACGGTGCTTAGCCAGTCCAACTCTATGCCGTTGCCGTAAAACTTTCCCTCTCCCGTTGTTATCAAGCCTCGGCAAGCCTCATTTCTGGATACCAGAAAGTAGGAAGTGAGCAAAATCTACATGAAATACTTCAGCAGGTATAAACAGCATTCAATACTTATGATGTCTAACCAAAGTAAATTGTAATAACGACCAGGTCATATTATATACATGGTACGCTTCTTCTAACAATGTGCTAAACAGACAGCACATTCTAATTCTCACACTCACACTCTGGTGCAAGCTTATTCCTACTTTTTTAAAGCTTTAGTTACATAGCTGGACAGACCTGATGTTTCCTTTCCACAATAAGCTGGCATAATTCTTCCCACATCATGTAAGTATAAGCAATACTATTCTGATCTTCCTCTCCACAATAAGCTGACAGTAGATCAACTGCTAACATAATTCTTCCCACATCATGTAAGTATAAGCAATACTGTTCTGATCTTCCTCTCCACAATCAGCTGACTGTAGATCAACTGCTAACATAATTCTTCCCACATCATGTAAGTATAAGCAATACTGTTCTGATCTTCCTCTCCACAATAAGCTGACTGTAGATCTACTGCTAACATAATTCTTCTCACATCATGTAAGTGTAAGCAATACTGTTCTGATCTTCCTCTCCACAATAAGCTGACAGTAGATCTACTGCTAACATAATTCTTCCCACATCATGTAAGTGTAAGCAATACTGTTCTGATCTTCCTCTCCACAATAAGCTGACTGTAGATCTACTGCTAACATAATTCTTCCCACATCATGTAAGTATAAGCAATACTGTTCTGATCTTCCTCTCCACAATAAGCTGACAGTAGATCTACTGCTAACATAATTCTTCCCACATCAAGTCGGCAACATCATTCTAATCTTCCTGTCCACAATCTGAATGTATTCATCATTCTGATAACTTCCCACATTATGTAGAATTACTAGTCTGACATTCTTCTAAGATTCCTGAAATATTCAACAATTTTTGTTTTTAAAAATATGGAGATAATAAAAATTGCTACAAGTTTTAATATGAGAAGAACTGAGCTTACAAGAGACTTCAAAAAAGAAAATCACATCTAATGTAAATACAGAAATAAGAAAATAAAATAAATGTCAGCAAGCGGAAAATGAGTATATATGGCTTCGTCATATTCTTACCCTTCAACAGAATCAAGCAAAGAATTGAAATCTTTGAGAAATGTTGCATTCAGTCGATTTTCCTTGTTCCTCATAGTGATGACAGCAACATCATCATTGTAGCGAAGATCAAGACCTGAGCTGGAGCTCATGCATCTTTTGAAGGACGGTACCGTTCTGAAAGACAAAAAGAAAAAAAAAGAAAAGAAAAAGTTAAAGACTTCTATTTCTTTGAAAAGAAGTTTTCAACAACAGAGCATATGAGTATGAGCATGTAGCCTAATGCTAGTCTTCATTTTGTCAGCAGAAACAAACTGGAAAAAAACCAACATAACAATGGCATAATGATGATGAGTATCAAAGTCTAGAGGTAAGACCATTAGACTTCCAATAGTCAGAAAAGAGTTCTGTCTTTGGACCCACCAAGTAGAACACCCAACTTTGTACACTAGAGAAAGGTACCGTGAGGTTTGTCCCAGAAGTAAGTTCCCCTGTTATGTAGACCTTTCGAGAAGTGACCTTAGGCAGGTTTGATTGTATTAATATAGGATCTTTATTCTGTTACACACAAGTTTAGGTTACTGCAGACGTCGTGTAAGGTGTAGTGTAAGGCAGGGGTTGCTCTACTGGGTTACCAGCTAGGTTACCATTATGTGTAGAAATAAATGAAGTATAGTCGAGCCTGTGTAAAACGGCCACCCATTGTCAAGGAGAAAAGTAGCCGTATAAGTACAGATGGGCGTCTTCGGCAGGACCAATCAAAAATGAGGACAGCAAATCATTCCCTTCTGAGGTCCGAACCAGGCTGATCTCAGGCTTAGGACTGCCGTAAGGTGAATTCAAAAGGATTTTTGTTTTCTTTTGAAAAAGGGGGATGGAGGGGTGTAAAAAGTTTTTCTTAGTTGTTGTTTTGTTGGTTTGTTTTTTAGTTAGCTTTTTTGTTGTTGATTTTGTGCAAGAGTAAAATAAACGAGGGAAATATGTACAAGACAATGAAGACAATGAAGACCGAGTGTCACAGTTAAAACAAAACCAATTGTCACTACCGCTCGGAGAACTAGAGTGGTCCCGGTCGCAAGGAGGGGAATGGTTCGACAGTAATTTTTTAAAACTAAAGTAAAATGTAAAACCCTCTTCTGAAACAGTCTAAAACAATAACAATAGAACAATTAGACTACTGCATCTTCCGTAGAACGTGACTTACTTTGAAAACAATCGCCTGGAAAGTTGACCATAATTTCTGAACAACAGTGCCATGCTGCCAAAGTAGCCTGTCTAATTTCTAAATTCAAGTAGAAATCGAAGTTTGGGCTAAAATAATGGTTTTGCTGACTGGTGTGGTAACAACGCCGGGTGAGCGGGGGAAAAAAGAGCACAAAGTTGAAAGTTGTAGAGATGAGAGTAAACACAGACAATGAGCTCAGGGTGTAGCACTCTCGTTGTGCTTTCAATTTAAAATATTAATATTATATCCCTTCACGGTCTAAAAAAATCAGATTTCCAACAACTGCAAAGACAACACAGCAAATCTTTTTGCTTGGGTTTGCAGGTTTGGTCAGCGGTCAGCAATGTTTTGTTTCGTGTCAAGGACGAAGTTCATCAATTATCGATTATTGTTTTAATTTTTTAATTACTCATACTACTTACCAGTATTACATTATACTTTTTTTTAGATTCATGTTCAAGAACAATAATAATTAATATTGATAATGATAAAGAAACTTTTAAAAAAATGTTTGTGGAATGCTAGCCTCCATTAGTTTTTCTCTCTCCCTCTCCCCCCCCTCTCTCTCTCTCTCTCTCTCTCTCTCTCTCTCTCTCTCTCTCTCTCTCTCTCTCTGACTCTGTGTGTGTTGTTTGTTTGAAAAATATTACATCGCTACTAATACAAATAAACAAAAGTAATAGCCGAGAGGCAGGCCTACAGGCTTTTCAAACCTTGTCAATAGTTTTAAATGAGTGAATGCAGCTTTGAAAACATTGATCAAAACAGACAAGTTGAAAGAAACGACTGTCAAACTTTTGAAACCGACATTATAATAGACAGTAAAGAGATATTATTTTTCAGACTACATCATGCTGTCAGAATTTTGTTTTTGACATATTACGTACTGACCTGTACTTTACCTACCTTACCGTTTTAACAGACATGAATTTATTAATCATAATTTGCCTCGCGTTGTCAGTCTGGGAAATTAGTATGTTGTACAGACAAAAGTAATGGATAACTCGTGAACGTACAAGCATCGATGTTGATCTGTTGGTTACGACAAGGAACAGACGAAATTTGGAAATATTTGAGAGTTCAGTACAGTATCACTTTGGATTTATGAGGAATATCGAAAGGGTACTGCAGGACTACTTTGTGGATTCTAGTTTTCTCTCTGATCTGCCGATAGATGTGGTTCTACCGCTAATTAGAGATCTACATCATTATATGTAGGCCTTTTTTTTTACGCCTTACAGTTACACCCCCTTCTTACACTCAAACATAATTCACTTAGAAGCCAAACATAAAACCCACATCAGACTCGAGTCCGAATAGATAAAAAATCTAATCAGACTCGAGTCCGAATAGAGCTGGCCATTCTCACCCAGTGTGCGTTCACCGTGATACCAGTGTAAACAAACGTACCAGTGCCAGTCAGGCCAGTGAATCGTGACTGAGGACTGAGTGCTCTTGTGTTGGAAGCGTGCCATTTTGTCTTCGGATGGTGAGAGAGAGAGAGATGCGGCGGGGGGGGGGGGGGGGGGTGTAGGGGAGAAAGTAAGAGGGAGGGAGAGTGGTGAGAATTTCCGGGCAAAACAAGGCGACCGGCGTAGTTCGGCTCGATTCGAAAAGTGAAATAGCTTGTAGCATCTTTGTAGACATGATCATATATATATATATATCTAGTCTGTTTTCACAATTGAATCTTTTTCTTGTTTGCGTTGCAGATTGACCATGCCCAGACGTAGATCCAGCAGCTCTCGAAGTCGGAGCCCAGTACGAAATGGCCACAGGGGAGGTTCAGTGTCTGACAGTAGCGACAGAAAACCTACTGCTTCGCGTTCAAAGAGAAGGTCTCGTTCTTCTGAGGAGGAACATCGTTCACTGCACAATGGTCGCGCTAAGAGAAACACGACAGTTAGGGACAAGAAGCATCGTCAAAGTCCGTCGTCCTCAGCTTCAAGCAGCAGATCTCGCTCAGCAGATTCAGCGTCGTCGAGAAGCTCGGTGAGTTCTGAGCGTGACAGAAAGAAGAACGGTGGAGTAAAAAGTCACAGACGTTCAAATCGTTCCCCGTCGCCTGATTTGAGAAAACGCGACTCATCAAACAATCACCGGCGTGAAAGACCAAGATCTCCTGTCCAGAGAAAGTACAGGAGGTCAAGATCTCGTTCTCCATCTCCCTATAAAAAGAGAAGAATTGGTCGGTCTCGGTCAGATTCCCGGGAAGATGATCGCTCTACGTTTCGCCGACAGTCTCCAGATCGTAGTAAGGGAAAGAGAAGATCAAGGTCACCAAAGTTACCTTCGTTGTTAGATCCAGGCAGGTTTCAGGGCCCTACAGCGGGATTTGTGGATGAACGTCAAAAGTCAAAGTCGAGATCTCCTTCAGTGGGGAAAAATCACCGGCAAATGTCACCAACGTCAAGAGAGAGGAATTTTGCTGAGAAATACGAAAGGTGAGCTGAATAAGCTGTTATAAATTAAGAGTTAAAACTTGCTGGCTTCTTTTTTTTTGCATTAAATCATTGTGACTGTGATCCGTGTATGTTTGGTGAAAAAAAAATATATATATATATGCGTCTTTTAATCAAGTTTTTTTTTTCAGATTGTCTTAGCCAAGATGTGTTTGTGAGAATAAAGAATCGCAATTGCGGCAATGTGACTAGTGTCATTGAAATTGAAGTGTTTGCTGCTAGTGTCAGGAATTGACTTACTTCAATTCAGGCCATTTTTGTACTCGGTTTTGATCAAGAAAAGACTGATGGTTCAAGATCTATGTCAGGTCTAAAAGTAGGTGATTGTTGGCAGTAGATGAAGAACTGACCTTCATTTCTGGACAGCTGTAAATTTAACTTTAAAAGTGAGTTTATTGTTTGCAAAGGCCATGAAATGTTTTCTCTCATCAGTGAACGGGTGGTCAGAGCAGTGGTTCTGGGTGGTTGCTCTCTCTCTTCTTGCCATTGTGTTTGTGACAGAGCTGTGGGGTGGTTGGCAGGTGCTCTGGTGTGGGTTGCTCCTTTCCTATCAAACATCTATTGTCCTTATTTCCCCTTTTTCTTTTTTATGTTTGTTACTCTCTTCTGACACCTCTAATCTTCTGGCGCGTCATATATGACCTTATGCAGTTGCGAGCGCCGTAAAACCTCTACTAAAACTAAAAACCTCTCTCTACGTGTGGGTGGTTGGCGGGTGCTCTGGTGTGGTTTGCTTCTTCTTTCTTACCAAACATCTATTGTCTTTATCTCCCCTCCTTCTTTTTTATTTTTGTTACTCTCTTGTAACACCTTAATCTTCATCACTTATTTGACCTTATTGTGTTGCAAGTGCTGTAAAACTGTCTTACTAAAACTAAAGAGCTGTGGTACCCTCTCTCTCTCTCTTCTTCTCCAGTTGGGACAGAGACAACAACCGACCCATCAGGAAAGGGAAAAGACAGCATGAGGACTCGTCAGGAATCAGCGAATGGTACGTCAAAGTCAAAGCCATTTCACAATTTTAACCACCACCACGTTTGTGCTGCGTCTTTGTTGAGTGTTTTATTTCATAACTTTGACAGAATTTATGTTTTTATGGGTCAAAATTTCTCATTTCACTGGGCCGTCAATGGAAAATGTTTGTTTATAGTCTGGTAAAGAGTTTCAGTTTTCATGCAGTACATTGCATTTTGTTTAGATTTTTTTATACTGCCAATGTCCACAACACCCATCCATTGTCGTGGAAAAAGTGGTTGTCTTAGGCAAGTGGACATCTTGTACAGTGGACTCATCATAATATAGTAAAACACAAGGAGGGGAAGGGGAAGTGATCAAGTGTACAGCTGGTTGTCTGGGATAGATGGCCCTGAGAGTGAGAGCAGCTTCGACTATTTGGTAACTTTTAAGCTTAAGGGGGCTGTCCCGGAAATTGAGAAAATGGAAGGTAAAGTTTTTGCCCCTTGTACAGTCACTTTTTCAAGGACAATGAGATTTTCTCTATAACCAAACATATACACATCAATTAAACCAAACTTCTCCTATAGGTAGAGCAATGCCCACTCTTGGTGTTGGTCAAGATTTCTGGAATCCCCCAAAATCTGGGTTAGCCCGCTTGTCCTTATAAGCGACCATTTCTTCAAACTTTTATTGTTACCACAGTTTGAAATTTATGTACCATATTTCCCTCTCCACAAGACGCCACAACTGAAACAATGCTCATCTTGGCCAGCTGTTGTCCTGTTGTCGTTAGCCATGCTGTACAGTTGACAAATGTCCTGATTTTTAACAAAGACATGACGTCAAAAAGGGAAGTTTTGGTACCTTTTGCCCTTTTTTGGGGGGGTTGTTTTTTAGGGGGGGGGAGGGCGGGGGGTGCGGATCGATTGTTTTTGTGTCTCTGGTGTCAAAGAATGTGATTTCACATCTGAGGTACATATGATGATATTGCATGTTTACCCCAGAAATAGAATAATATTCTAGTAATGCTATCACATTGTGAAAACAGTGGAAGTTACGTGACAGGATCAGACTTTTTTTCTGTCCCTTTTAAAATAAACATTTTCTTCCTACACCCGAGTTTCACAGTAGATTTTGCTCTCTTCATAACAGTCTCAAGCTTTTGATGTTGCCAGACTTGATCAACTTATTTCTTTGAGTGTAGAAGTTGTCAGCGATCAGATGCACTACTAGAAAGTCTTGCCTTTAACTTTAAGAAATTTGGTTGGAATTTTTTTCTTCTCTGTGTTTTGTTATTTGTTTGTAGATTTGGAATAACTAAATGCTTCATCTCCTTTTTGCCTGCAGGAGGAGACAAGAGAGAGAAAGAATCGGCACGTTTGGTGTGCTGGAGCTGTGGAGCAGGTCGCCGGCACATGAGGAAGAGTGAGTCGACGCGAGCGCGTCTTTCATACAACTTTAATAATAATAATAATGTGACATTTATATAGCACTCAACCCCGATTAAAGTACACAGGCTCTGAGCGCTTTACAATACAGTACAACGTACAACAGTAACATAAAACGTTGTGTTCTGACTAAAAGGAAATCACTCCAAATATTCATCTTATTAATTTAACAACAGAAACGCCTTCAGCTGACACTTGATAAAATCAAAAGATTTGATCTCTCTAAAAGTACTGTCTGTCTGTCAGTGCCATTCGGCGGGTTTCGGTCTCGCTACCGACCAATCCCCTCTTCGAAAATATCTCGGCTGTCGCTGAAGATGTCGGAAAAATTTGTTCTACAGTGAATGGCTCAATTTCTCCCGCATGTATTGATGTATGATACATGGGGCTGACGCAAAGAACAATGCTATAAATAAGCGTGTTCCCGGGGTTACCCCTTGCTCGGGTGAGTCTCCCGCGTTTTCGCACTGTTTGAAATGATTCATTTCATCTTTTTCAGGTCTGACGTAGAAGATGAAGGGAAGAAAAAGAAGGACAAGGAAGGAAAAGGGAAGAAAAAGAAAAAGAAGAAGGAAAAGGACGACTCTGATGAAGATGAGGGCGACAGTGATGATGATGATGATGGCAGTGGTAAATAAGTCTTTTGTCTGTTTTTAGCTGATTCCACTTCTTTTCTTTTCCTATGGCAATATCTACATGTTAGTCTGATTGTTCTAAACAGAAATGGCCTTTCATTTTTTTAAAAATAAAGTGACAGAAGATATCTGGGCAAATTCATCTTGACTGTAAATGATCTTTGAAATCTGAGACTGATTTGTTTTGTGTCTACAGCACTGTTTTCTGTAAATATAATTAATGAAGTTACACATGTGAAAATATTTTGCTTTTTTTGTTTTCTCAGGAAAGAAGAGGAAAAAGTCCAGCAAGAAAAAGAAACACAAAAAAGACAAAAGGAAAAAGTATGTCTACCTTTTTCGTAGTGTACAGTTGTGTGATGTTTGTCTGTGTGTCCAAAATGTACTCGCGTCATGGCAGAAATGTCGGGAACGCCTCAGGAGTTGGTCTGAGTTCCTGCAAGTCACTACGTCATCTGATGGGCAATAGTAGCAGGCCTAATTGTGTTGCAAGTGCCGTAAAACTCTTACTGTAAAAAAAAAAATTTGCTTTTTTTTTTTTAAAGACCTGCCCACCTTCCTTTTTTTACCCAGAATTTCCTTAATTCAGACTCCATTTTCCCGAGGTCATGATAACAACATTGGGGTTTGGGGGTTTTTTTTCAGATTAGTTCGGCCACAGGGGAAATTTTATTCTTTCTCCTAAATTTGTGCATTATGCCTTTAGTTGTCAGTGGAATAAATAAAGGAAGGTGGTTAGAAGGTTATTCACAAGGAAATCACCTCTAAAATGTAGCTGTGGAGAGGGAAATGATGACTGTAATGTCAAAGTGTGTAACTGTGGTGAGGAATATGACAGCTGTAATGTCAAAGTGTGTAACTGTGGTGAGGAATATGACGGCTGTAATGTCAAAGTGTGTAACTGTGGTGAGGAATATGACGGCTGTAATGTCAAAGTGTGTAACTGTGGTGAGGAATATGACGGCTGTAATGTCAAAGTGTGTAACTGTGGTGAGGAATATGACGGCTGTAATGTCAAAGTGTGTAACTGTGGTGAGGAATATGACGGCTGTAATGTCAAAGTGTGTTAGTCTGCTCGCCCTTCATAGTGTAACAAAGAGTCAAACAGAGTTGATTTTATTTATATTATATAAATTTGTGTGAGTGTGTATATGGTATCAACTATTTGAATGTGTATTCATACAGCATATATAGTATATTATGTGTATGTATATTATTTATTATGAAATGGGGTATGTTAACGCTTTACAGTCACACAGCCAGCAGTACAAAATACCCCATGTGGTCACCCAGCCAGGAGAGTGACTGCAACAGTCTTCTCGGGCCTGGCGCAGAACTGCGTCAAGTGACCCGGAATGAATCATTTTCACCGTCACATTATTGCGCCAAGTGACGGCAAAGTGTTAGTTGCTTGCTACACGTGTTGTGCTTCACCGTCACATTATTGCGCCAAGTGACGGCAAAGTGTTAGTTGCTTGCTACACGTGTTGTGCTTCACTGTCACATTATTGCGCCAAGTGACGGCAAAGTGTTAGTTGCTTGCTACACGTGTTGTGCTTCACCGTCACATTATTGCGCCAAGTGACGGCAAAGTGTTACTTGCTTGCTACACGTGTTGTGCGATCCTGGCGCTGACATTTCCTCCTTTCTGACCTTTTTCTGTTATCGTTACTTATTAGAAATATTTTGATCTGTTTCAGGAAATACCGCCGGGGGCCGTGCTACTGACTGAAGTGTCTTTAGGACATTCCCAAAGGGGGGACATCAACATGTTCTTACGCACAGTAGAATTGTGAATTGTAAATGGGCTGATTCATCAATGTCATGCTCATAACTGTGCCTGAACTGCAGCAGGGAACTGCTGCTTTTTCTTTCCTCATTCTTACTATCGTCATTTTGCTCTACTTCTTTTGAATGCTCGTCTCACTCTTGTAAACTGCTATTTCCGGGGTGCCTTGATAGTCGAAGCAGACTTTGTGATGTTGAAGCTAGGAAGGTGAGCCGAGTTAGCCTGATTCCCTGTAAGGATTTCTCTGTTGACATCCACCCCTTGGCGCTCATATGACCTTATGCAGTTGCAAGCAACGCAAAGACTCAACTAAACTAAATTGTCTGTCTGTTTCAGGAAATCGAAGAAGTCAAAGAAAGCCAGCAAGAAGAAGAAAAAAGCCAAAGTCAGCGAGACGGAGTCGGATTCCGACTCAGATTCGGAGTCCGGGTCAGATGATGAACCAGTGTGGCTGGAGAAGACAAAGAGTGAGTGGTCTGTCATAGCAGACAGTCCCGATTTGTGATATCAGCCTTGCTGTCTGTCCCGATTTGTCATGTGTTGGAATTGTTTTGTCTGTGGCGTTTTCAATGGGTGTAATTTATTTCCCTTCCTTTTTCATCCTCTGTTGTTGTTGTCATTACTGGTCAGTTGTGCTGTTGCTGGTTCTCATTCAAATGCTAATCATTTGTTTGTGGGCGTGTGATCGTAACGTTTGGACAAAGGACTTTGTTTGGATTCTCAATCTCATACTTAGTCTCTTTATCTTTTTTTTTTTCTACAGACCCTTCTGTTTGATTTATTTTAATCTTACGTTTCCTTCCACATATTATATTATTTGCTTTTGCTCTTGTTTCTCTCCTTCCCCGTAAATTCTCTTTGGTTGATGACTCTTGATCCTGTCAACAAGACTATGTCTCAGCGTGCACCAAATTGTCTGTGACAGTAGATGTCCTCTTGGTTTTTTATTTTTTTTTATTATTTTTTTCTTTACATTACACTGCTGGTCGGTCCAGGAAGGAGCAGAGGGAGTAGATATTGTCAGTAAATGTACAGGTTCAATGCCCGTTTCAATGCTGTAAGATTGATCATGCAGCAGGATCTCCAAATTTAACTTCACGTCCATCTTTGGGTAGGATTGAAAACTCTTTTTTAAAAATACCCGAGTTCATACCAGGGTCTTCTGCTCCAGCATGATACCAGCTGATGTAAAGCAGCAACTGAGTTGATATTAGGAGGTGATTGTGACTTCCAAAGATGTAGGAGAATGACAAGGAGATCTTTTCCCTTTTTTTTAAAAATCCACAGAAAGTAAAAGATATAGGCTACCCATGTTGATTTGTGGCAGGGGCAAGAAATGTGGCTGTTTATGTAGAGATGTGATTGCCAGTATTGTCAATAAACTCTCTCAGCTGGTGGAGGGAGCTGTGGTAAGTGTGTGGATGTCCTAGCCTCATTGATATTGGAATGTTTTTCCTCTTTTTCGCCAGAGCCCAAAAACCCTGATGATGAGGAGGAGATCGGCCCGTCGCCGTACGTGGAGATCAATGCCCTGACGGAAAGAGAGTAAGTTGTCTGGTGTGGAGACAAATAGTACTGGGTGGTTGGCGGGTGCTCTGGTGTGGTTTGCTCCTTCTTTCCTATCCGATCAAACATCTATCGTCCTGATCTCTCCTCCTTCTTTTTTGTGTTTGTTACTCTCTTGTAACACCTCTAATCTTCTGCACTTATAGGACCTTATTGTGTTACAAGTGCCATAAAACACTTACTAAAACAATAAAACAAACTCCATGGGTTTGTCAACTTTTTCTTTGTCTTGTCCCCCCCCCCCCCCCCCCCAGTTTTGGTCGAGCCCTGCTCCCCGGTGAAGGTGCGGCTATGGCGGCGTACATCGCAGAAGGCAAAAGGATTCCCCGGCGTGGAGAGATCGGACTCACGTCGGACGAGATCGAAGGTTTTGAGACCGTGGGATATGTCATGAGTGGAAGCAGGTAGGTTGTCTGTTGTTCACTCATCACTGTGTGATCGCTGGCTGATTTGTTTGTTTTTTATTTTTAATTATAAGTATTTTAGAACAACTTGCAAAAATCAGTTACTATACTTTCCTTTCTCTACTTGGCATACTCCAGGGGGTGGGGGGTTCAATCTACTTTGATTTAATAATAATGTGGTAGAACCGCCCCCACCCACAACCCTACCGAGTTCACATGAACACTGAAAAATATAGTTTGAAAGTGAGACTTTTGGAAAGATTATTTCAGGTTTCTTTTCTGTGTCCAGTGGGAGGAATTGTGTGTGTGTGGGGGGGGGGGAATTGTTCTTGTTTAAATCTACATAACACGTGCACTAGTGGTGGGCGCTTATCAATACCAGTACTCGGTACTTTTGTTAAGAACGACCCCCCTTAGCAAGTACTTAAGTACTTTTGTCATTTATTCAATACTCAAGTTTTGGAATTTTAGGATTTTGTAACAACTGAAAAGCATTAAAAGATACTTTTGTCATCTATCTGACTCTCAAGTTTTTAAAATTTCAGATGTTTTAAAAGTGAAAAGCATTGAGAATGCTGCTGACAGTAAAACTGTTGTCTGTGATATACAAAGACATACAAGCAGTTTCCATGGTGGAAGTTTATTTTAGCTGTTTATTGGTAATGTTTATTGTAAATGTTTATCGTAACTGTTTATTGTAAATGTTTATCGTAACTGTTTATTGTAACTGTTTATCGTAATTGTTTTGTGTTGTCCACCAGGCACCGACGTATGGAGGCCGTGCGTCTGAGGAAGGAGAACCAGATCTACAGCGCTGACGAGAAGCGGGCGTTGGCGACCTTCAACCACGAGGAGCGCAGCAAGAGAGAGGCCAAGATCTTGTCACAGTTCAGGTCCATGGTGCACGAGAGACTGAAACATTAACTCCCCGAGTCCTGGTCCAAGGCCAAGAAGAGAAGCTGTTTTGGAGACTGTCGGATTGAACACATTGTCTAAATTATGTGGGAAGGTTTATGGATTTCATCACGGGATTTTTGTATGACATATTTGTCATGAGGAAAATGTAAATAAATGACTTCCAATAATTTCCAAATTGTCGAATGAAGGAGTAAACAAAAGGCTATTTTGAGCATGTCGCACTGGACTGAAGGTTAATGTTTTGGGGAAAATGTATCAATGTATTTATGTGATTTTTATTCCATGTTATGATTGAATTATTTTAAAAAGTCAATAAATGACATGACATAATTGTCGAGTTTTCTCATATTTGTTTATCATTTACAATAAAATCGCTGATGTTCTGATAGACTACCTAGTGTCTCTCTCTTGCCCTTTTTAACTCCCAGTGGAGCACAGGCCATCAACAACATTTCTCCAGCGAAGCCTGTCCTGTGCCTCCTTTTCTAGCTGTTTCCATGATGTCCCCACCTTTTCCATTTCCACTTGTACCGCTTGACTCCATGTCATCTTTTGTCTTCCTCTCTTACATTTTCCTTGTGGATTCCACGTCAAAGCCTGTCTGATGATGCTGGTCACTTAATTTTGTTATTGAAGGTTCATGACGGAGAAATATGTTTCACGACGCAGTGGAATCAGACGCTCGTCACTTTTTGTGCATGTGGAGTTATTGGTATCATCTCAAAGCTTGTTCATTTATCTTGCTTTTGATGGAAAAAAATACCCATCTATCTTGAGCAGAAGTGAAGATATTTGTGATTGAAAGAGCTACGTTCACTTGGTTTTAGCGGTAAAAATAGTGAGAAAATGGCCGCCAAAGTTTGGTAACTTCAATAACTAAAGAGTCCTTGAAAACCAAAAAATTACACATTTTGAGCTTTCAATCAACGTTTTTCAATATAATTCACATGGAAATGTGCTTTTATTTAGACATAAAAGGGTTGAACAAAAAATTAAAAATATGATTAAAATTGTGAAACTGGTGGAAATGCATGTTTCTCCAATGTTGTTATTTTGACGAGCGCCTGATTTCACCACGATACCTCACATATGGTCACTTTTAAGGACAAGCGGGCTAATCCAGATTTTGGGGGTGTGGTCTATTTGGCTTTTTATTTTGCAATCTGGCGTGTTGGTCAGTGGCAGGGGGTTAGGCCTAGCCTATTGTATTGTTTGGCTGAAAGTGTGTAAAGCAGAGAGAGTGACTCAGTGAGTGAGTAAAGTGTGAGTGAGTAAAGTGTGAGTGAGTAAAGTGTGAGTGAGTAAAGTGTGAGTGAGTAAAGTGTGAGTGAGTAAAGTGTGAGTGTCCTTGTATTGTTTGGTGCAAATGTATAAAAGCAGTCTGGATTACTGCAGGTCAGACTAGTTAGAGGGAACAGTGTATCGAGGCAGAGGAGGCCTGCAGAGATTTGGGCGTGAGGAAAGGGGGTATGGCTGTTTAGTGCCTCGGTCTATTTCTGTGGTGTGTGTGAGATTCCAACGCATCGGGGCCCCACAGCTGAGGAAAGGATCACGATCTAGAGTGAGAGACAGGTTTGGCTAACCCTTGTTGTAAACGCATCTCCGCAGGCAACCAAAAGATTAGTGTTTAAATATTTTAACATTATTTAATGTTCAAGAAACAACAGGGGGTTTCCAGTTCCAGAAATCTTGACGTACACCAAAAGTGGGCATAGCCCTACCTATAGCAGAAGTTTGGTTTCATTGGTGTGTATATTTGTTTGGTTATAATAGAGAAACTCATTGTCTTTTTAAAAAACTGAACAAGGGGCAAAAACTTTACCTTCGATTTTCTCAAAACAGCATTTTTCGGGATAGCCCCCTTGTGCTTAAAAGCGACCATATCAGGACAGTTTAGTTGGCAGGGAGATTGGGAAGTGTGCCACAACGTGACTCGTTGTCTCAGTATATCTGGGCTTGTTGTAAGCTCTGGTGGTAGGTCTTACAACAATGAGCTCAGGAGAAATGTTGTAAACGGTGCGCCGGGGGCTTTCGTGGCCTAGAGGTTAAGGTGTTGGCCTCTCATTGAAATGTCCCGGTTTCGAATCCGGATAGCGACCGAAAAATTTTCTTTTCTTAAATTGTCTCCTTTCACTTCCTTTCCCGCTCTCTAGCAATGTTCTGTCTTCTGCTTTCGTCTCCTCTTTCTTCCTCCCGCCCCCTCACCTCCTTTGCCCCCTCCTCTGGGCTCCTGACTCTTTCTGCTGCTACTCCTTGGCTCCTTCTTACTGCTGTCTTTCAGCCATACACCTGATCTTCTGGTACTGGTAGGAAAGATGATCTTCTGGTAGGAAAGATCTACGCCTAGCCCTCTCGGGCAAGGGCGAAAAATCTCGGAGGGCCCGTGTGCAAGTTGGGCTCGTTAAAAAAAGTCCCTTGGTGGTCTAAAATCGATAAGGTAGGCTTCGGCCGCCATCAGGACAAAATTCAAAATTTCCTTCCAACTGTGGCACTTTTATCACGTGGGTGGGGACAACTGCTCAGACTTAAAAGTGACCTACTTTGTGTCTAGCAGTGGATTTTAATTAATTAGACTTAGACCAGTTTCAGTTTAATAAACCGCAGGAAAAGGGAGAAAACTATTCCTCTTTACTTCAGGTTTTGAACAGGAATTTCATTGTAAGACTTCTTTACAGTTCCCGGGGGGGGGGGGGGGATAAAAGAGAGAGAGAGAGGAGGGGGGGAGATGGAGAGAGGGAAGGAAGAGTGAGAGAGGGATGGGAGAGAGAGAGAGAGAGAGAAAGAGAGAGAGAGAGAGAGAGAGAGAGAGAAAAGAATCAAATGACATTTTAACAAAACAAGCAAGCACATGATACAAGGCTCAAACACAAAAAACACAATCCGATTCACTCCATCACAAAAGGCACAAAGCAGTAGATTAATTTTTCTTTAATTATTTATTGCAACTTTTCATTTTCAGAAACAAAACAACAATACATTTTGTATGTGTGTAGCACCAAACATAACATGGAAATTTAAAAAAATACTTTTTACATGTTTATACAATGTACATGTATTTTTATACAGCTCAAGCATAAAGTAAACTGTTAATGTATAATTATTTACTTACAGCAAATAATACATCAATTTGATAAAGGCTAACACATGGTAATACCACTGCTTGTACTTAAATATTTTTAGATTATAGACAAGATGTACATACAAGCTTATATACATGATAAAAATAATCTAATACACATCGATTTTTAACAAAACCATGTGAAAATACTGTTTGAAAGTGTCTTGAGATCAATGATTAGGATACAAGGTAAGGGTAGATTAGTCCATCTCCTCAACACTGGGTCCATGTGGACCCGATGAACCCTGTGAACTTCCTTGACCTTGAGACTGACCCTGGGTGTGGAGTTTGGCCATCACAGACGAGGTTGTCTTCTGGAGTTCCTTCAGACGATCTTCCACTTCTTCCTTGTCGGCCAGACTGTTGTTGTCTAGCCAGCTGAGAGAGTCATTGCAGGCCTTGAGAACAGCGTCCTTATCAGGAGAGGGCAGCTTGTCTCCAGCTGCATCTACCGCCTGCTTCACGTGGAAAATGTACGTTTCTAGCTGGTTGCGAGCCGAAACTCGTTCTCTTTGCTTCTCATCTTCGTCCTTGTACTTGTCCGCATCGGCCAGCATCCTGTCAATCTCCGCCTGGCTCAGTCGCCCTCTTTCGTTCTTGATGGTGATGTGGCTACTTTTCCCCGTGCTTTTGTCTTGAGCTGTCACGTTGAGAATTCCGTTAGCGTCCACGTCAAAGGTGACCTCAATCTGGGGCACACCACGGGGTGCCGGAGGGATGCCCGACAGTTGGAATTTGCCCAGGAGGTTGTTGTCTTTGGTCATAGCTCTCTCCCCTTCAAACACCTGAATGTCCACACCTGGCTGGTTGTCCGAGTAGGTGGTGAACACCTGGGAGGTCTTGGCGGGAATGGTGCTGCCTCGTTTGATGAGAGAGGTCATCACGCCGCCCGCCGTCTCGATGCCCAGAGACAGGGGAGCCACGTCCACGAGCAACACGTCTCTGATGGCCTCACTCTTGTCCCCCGTCAGAACAGCGGCTTGGACTGCAGCGCCATACGCCACGGCCTCATCGGGGTTGATGGACTTGTTCAACTCTTTCCCGTTGAAAAAGTCGCTCAGAAGTTTCTGGATTTTCGGGATACGCGTGGAGCCTCCCACCAGCACCACCTCGTCGATTTTGCCTTTGTCCAGTTTGGCGTCTCTTAGAGCGCTTTCCACCGGCTCCAGGGTGCTTCTGAACAGATCCGCACACAATTCCTCGAATCTGGCTCTGGAGATTTTCGTGTAGTAGTCCATGCCCTCGAACAACGAGTCGATCTCGATGGACGCCTCCGAACTGCTGGACAGAGTTCTTTTGGCTCTCTCGCAGGCTGTGCGCAGACGTCTGGTGGCTCTGGCATTTTTGCTGATGTCTTTGTTATGTTTCCGCTTGAACTCTTGCAGGAAATGAGACACGAGTCGGTTGTCAAAGTCCTCGCCTCCCAGATGTGTATCCCCCGATGTGGCTTTCACTTCAAACATGGAGCCCTCGTCAATGGTGAGGACGCTCACATCAAACGTGCCTCCTCCAAGGTCAAAGATGAGCACGTTTTTCTCTCCACTCTGTCCTTTGTCAAGGCCGTAGGCGAGGGCCGCTGCTGTGGGCTCATTGATCATTCTCAGAACGTTCAGGCCAGCAATGGCACCGGCGTCTTTGGTGGCCTGTCTCTGGGAGTCGTTGAAGTAAGCGGGGACTGTGATCACAGCCTCCGTCACTTTCTGGCCCAGGTACGCCTCGGCGGTTTCCTTCATTTTGCTCAGAACCATGGAGCTCACTTCTTCAGGGGCAAACAATTTCCTCTCTCCTTTGTACTCGGCCTCAATCTTTGGCCGGCTGTCCACCTCCGCCACTTGGAACGGCCAGTGCTTCATGTCCGACTGAACGGACTTGTCGGTGAACTTGCGACCTATCAGTCTCTTGGCGTCAAAGATGGTGTTGCTGGGGTTGAGAGCAGCCTGGTTTTTGGCCGCGTCTCCCACCAGTCTCTCGGTGTCTGTGAAGGCCACATAGCTGGGCGTGGTCCTGTTGCCCTGGTCGTTAGCGATGATCTCCACCTTGCCGTGCTGGAAAATCCCCACACAGGAGTAGGTGGTGCCCAGGTCAATGCCGATGGCGGGAGTCTTCATGCCTTTGGTCATCTGAAACGTTGCAAACAAAGACAAAATCTATAAATATAGGTGCAACAATACAGAACTTTAACGGTTGTAACAAACTGGGCTTTGAGCAGTTCAAATTGGTCCTTGGTAGGGGAACTATACTGATTTCTCTTGATGATGCATAGAAAAAAAATCACCCAACAAAAATATGATAGGTTTGATAAGGAGAGGAGAAAAAAGAATAACCAATGATTTTGTTTCTCATCTTTTCAAAGCATCTCCCACAATTACATTTTCTTCCTAAACAGTATCAGAACGGGCTGTTGATCAAAAAACGAGAATGTGGTCATCGTTTCCTAAGTTAAAGATTTCAGAAACGAAAATGGTCAGGCTACAGAAAGATTTCTATGTATTGCTCATCATACCAGGTTTGGGTGGCGAGTAACATTCTAAATGAGTGAATATGAGAAACCGTGTCCACTCGATTACAATGTAAAGAGTACTTGTCATTTGGAAACTAAACAATACACTACTATACTAATTACAAGAACACCAAACGTACTCTATTATTGAACATGCAGACAGCACATATTATATGGCATAAAAATTATGGTTAAACCTATTCGTAGGCTTACGCCCTTGGGTAATTTTGTACCCCGGGGTTGTATTCTTCACATTTTAGAATACTTCTAGTACGAAGATCTCTTTGAAACTTTCAGTATTTCAAAAAAAAAAAAAAATCATTTTGACAGATGCTATACAAAGCGTACAGATCGGATTATTGAGTTGAGTAAATTTCCTCTTTGGAAAGTGGTGGCTCAGAATTCACCACCTCGTATGGATACGATAGTAAAACACGACGTACGGATAGGGTTAAGTGGTGGCACTGAGTTCCCCACGTCCTATGGATACGATAGTAAAACACGACGTACGGATAGGTTTAAACAAAGATATAATGTAAACTTACCTTTATTTTGTCTTATATCTTTGTAGTGAACGATGCACACTCCCAATCGATGTTGAACACACCAAGTCTTGTGAAAATATTATCTTATTGTACTGTACACTTATTATAGTAAACACCAAACAGTGGCTGCGACTGGACCGATCGGAATAACACAAAACTTTAGAAGAGTCGTAGGTTTCTGTTCTACAGCTGGTTATAGATCGTAAACGATCGTTACTCAAGTGTAGGTTCTACGATGAGTTTGATGCTCCAAATTTCATCGTCCTGCTTATATATCAAGTAAAAGTTTAGACGAGAAGACTCGTGAACAACGAAGAAGTTCCCAGAACTTACGAGAACCTCGTGGTGCCCAACAGAATGTTTATTTACAAAGTTAAAAATAAACTGTTTAGCATAACCAATCGGAGCATAGGAGTTGTGCGCTTGCGCACTAATTAAGATGCGAAAATAAAAGAATATTAATGAAGGCATTTTAATTGATTTATTTTTCAAAACCCCAAAACTTTGCTGAATTGTAATAGATATGGTGCTAAAGTAAAAGATAATAGTGATTTGTGAGAACTATATTCTTATTATTTAAAGTTATAACAAGAATAACAATTAAAGGTGAACGCATGCGTGGAAAGAATCGTCCAATCATCACGTTGAGCTATTTTAAGAAACAATAACATACCGCCGCATGGAGAACAGAATTGTCGAGAAGTTTCTGCATTTTTCGAGTGCCGTGTAGATTCTGATAGATGCTTCTTGATACCTCCAGAAGATATTCATACACATATAAATACCAAGTGAGGCCGAAAGAGATTCAGAATTCACATCACGAACAAGACTGAGAACTTGCGCGCGAGAAAGAAGTGTAGATCTATCTGTATTGCGGACACAGATAAATATTCTACGAAAGACGAAATCGAGAACACAGAACTGAAATAAACGGACTGTTCTTTTATTGTTTGAAACAACTCAAGAAATCATTCCTATTGTCTTCAAGTACAGCAAAGGTAAGTGTTCTTAACAGTTTTGTTACCATTCATTTTGTTTTAATTGTAACGTACTTTCCGTACATATAACCAAGTCTGCTTCATTTGTTTTCATTATCATAAATACAAGTACCATATTATTATTATTATTATAATATACGAGGGATCTAATTTCTTATTCTTAAGTGCATTCATTATTAATTGTTTGTCAAAGTACATGTATTCGTTCTATGCTAATCGCTTTCACAAGTAAACATAATCTGTTTGTCTGCCTGTCTGTCTGCCTCTGTCGCTCTCTCTCTCTCTCTCTCTCTCTCCCCCTCTCTCTCTCTGTGTCTCACTTCAACGGCACGTTCTAACACTTTTCATAACTTGGGTTGTTTGTTTTTTCTTCCCCTAATCGAGCTTATCATATTATTTGTCGGGTGAATTAATTCCACGCATCATCAAGAGAAATCAGTCCCCAGCCAAAGATCAATTTGAACTGCTCAAAGCCCAATTTGTTACAACCGTTAAAGTTCTGTATTGTTGCACCTATATTTATAGATTTTGTCTTTGTTTGCAACGTTTCAGATGACCAAAGGCATGAAGACTCCCGCCATCGGCATTGACCTGGGCACCACCTACTCCTGTGTGGGGATTTTTCAGCACGGCAAAGTGGAGATCATCGCTAACGACCAGGGCAACAGGACCACGCCCAGCTATGTGGCCTTCACAGACACCGAGAGACTGGTGGGAGACGCGGCCAAAAACCAGGCTGCTCTCAACCCCAGCAACACCATCTTTGACGCCAAGAGACTGATAGGTCGCAAGTTCACCGACAAGTCCGTTCAGTCGGACATGAAGCACTGGCCGTTCCAAGTGGCGGAGGTGGACAGCCGGCCAAAGATTGAGGCCGAGTACAAAGGAGAGAGGAAATTGTTTGCCCCTGAAGAAGTGAGCTCCATGGTTCTGAGCAAAATGAAGGAAACCGCCGAGGCGTACCTGGGCCAGAAAGTGACGGAGGCTGTGATCACAGTCCCCGCTTACTTCAACGACTCCCAGAGACAGGCCACCAAAGACGCCGGTGCCATTGCTGGCCTGAACGTTCTGAGAATGATCAATGAGCCCACAGCAGCGGCCCTCGCCTACGGCCTTGACAAAGGACAGAGTGGAGAGAAAAACGTGCTCATCTTTGACCTTGGAGGAGGCACGTTTGATGTGAGCGTCCTCACCATTGACGAGGGCTCCATGTTTGAAGTGAAAGCCACAGCGGGGGATACACATCTGGGAGGCGAGGACTTTGACAACCGACTCGTGTCTCATTTCCTGCAAGAGTTCAAGCGGAAACATAACAAAGACATCAGCAAAAATGCCAGAGCCACCAGACGTCTGCGCACAGCCTGCGAGAGAGCCAAAAGAACTCTGTCCAGCAGTTCGGAGGCGTCCATCGAGATCGACTCGTTGTTCGAGGGCATGGACTACTACACGAAAATCTCCAGAGCCAGATTCGAGGAATTGTGTGCGGATCTGTTCAGAAGCACCCTGGAGCCGGTGGAAAGCGCTCTAAGAGACGCCAAACTGGACAAAGGCAAAATCGACGAGGTGGTGCTGGTGGGAGGCTCCACGCGTATCCCGAAAATCCAGAAACTTCTGAGCGACTTTTTCAACGGGAAAGAGTTGAACAAGTCCATCAACCCCGATGAGGCCGTGGCGTATGGCGCTGCAGTCCAAGCCGCTGTTCTGACGGGGGACAAGAGTGAGGCCATCAGAGACGTGTTGCTCGTGGACGTGGCTCCCCTGTCTCTGGGCATCGAGACGGCGGGCGGCGTGATGACCTCTCTCATCAAACGAGGCAGCACCATCCCCGCCAAGACCTCCCAGGTGTTCACCACCTACTCGGACAACCAGCCAGGTGTGGACATTCAGGTGTTTGAAGGGGAGAGAGCTATGACCAAAGACAACAACCTCCTGGGCAAATTCCAACTGTCGGGCATCCCTCCGGCACCCCGTGGTGTGCCCCAGATTGAGGTCACCTTTGACGTGGACGCTAACGGAATTCTCAACGTGACAGCTCAAGACAAAAGCACGGGGAAAAGTAGCCACATCACCATCAAGAACGAAAGAGGGCGACTGAGCCAGGCGGAGATTGACAGGATGCTGGCCGATGCGGACAAGTACAAGGACGAAGATGAGAAGCAAAGAGAACGAGTTTCGGCTCGCAACCAGCTAGAAACGTACATTTTCCACGTGAAGCAGGCGGTAGATGCAGCTGGAGACAAGCTGCCCTCTCCTGATAAGGACGCTGTTCTCAAGGCCTGCAATGACTCTCTCAGCTGGCTAGACAACAACAGTCTGGCCGACAAGGAAGAAGTGGAAGATCGTCTGAAGGAACTCCAGAAGACAACCTCGTCTGTGATGGCCAAACTCCACACCCAGGGTCAGTCTCAAGGTCAAGGAAGTTCACAGGGTTCATCGGGTCCACATGGACCCAGTGTTGAGGAGATGGACTAATCTACCCTTACCTTGAATCCTAATCATTGATCTCAAGACACTTTCAAACAGTATTTTCACATGGTTTTGCTAAAAATCTAAATCTATGTGTATTAAATTATTTATGTATAAAAGCCTGTACATTTTATTTACATTAACTATGATCTGTGATTTGTTTTATTACCACAATATTCGCTGTTCATAATCAGTTAACTGTAAATATGTATATCCAGAGATACAAGGACAGTTAAACATTGCTAAGTGAGCATACATTATATCTGTTGATGTTATTATTCTGAAAATGGTAATAACAATAAATAATGAAAGAAAAAATAAATACACGATATTGTGCCTTTTGTTTTCGAGTGAATGGTAATGTGTGTGATCCCAAATTGTTGGGTTTTTTCATGCTCTCTCTCTCTCTCTCTCTCTCTCTCTCTCTCTCTCTCTCTCT